TTATTTCTTTCTCTCTCTCTCTCTCTCTCTCTCTCTCTCTCTCTCTCTCTCTCTCTCTCTCTCTCTCTCTCCCCCCCGCCCGCCTCCCTCTCTTCCTCTTTTCCTGTCTCCCTCTCTTCCCTCCCTCTGACCAGGACACATACTCTTATGTCTACTACCACTGCTTACAGAGGAAGGCTTTTGACTTCACTTTTCAGCTTGTAACCAGCATCTGCCCTTGATCTTTGGACTCATGACTGTATCTGTTGCTTCTTAGATCTAGCTAGTCTGTTAAAAAGCTTTGGGATTTTTTTTCATTGAAGATTTTGGTTTTTTCATTATAAACTTAATAACCCACAATTGTTCTTTGTCTTTCTAAGTGTCATACCATTAAAACAGTGAAATTTTGAAAATAGATCACCTGGAGCAGTTAGGGACTCTGATAAAGCAGATGCAGATGTGTGAGTCTTTTAAGATTCATTTTTGTAATGTCAGAATTACTTTACATATTTATAATTCTTTGTTTCAGTTTTTGTTAAGTCATTTGTGGTACTTGAAGAAAAAAATGTTAAATCTTACAGACCTACCCTAGATGGTCTCACATAAATAAAGGCACTGTAACAAAAATATTAGGAACTCTAAAATCGGACCTGAACAAAACTTTATTATTTCTCTACACTGGTTGCTACCTGTCTTTACTGTCGGGGTACATTCCTTCTGTGCAGACATCTTAAGAGTATTTCAAGTAGTACCCTTCGTTTTGGGGGCTGTACTATTTAGAGTCTTGATATTCTGCAGCTGCTGTTATTAATATATATTTAAGGAAAACAAGGTGTAGCGGCTTCTCGTGAGGGATTGGTTTATCTTGACCTCTGTTTATATTATTATTTGAAAAATAATGCAATTGTTTTCTTTATATTAAAAAATTAAAGTTTGCAAAGTACATTTGGGGTCATGAGGTAGGTAGAAGGGGAGACGAGTTTCCATTTCCTCCCCTTTTAACCATGCTGTGGCGCCTCATGATGCTGACTGATGGCTTCAGGAGCCTTTCTGCTTGATTCTGAACTTGGGATGCAGATGCTTACTGATCTGCCCCTTGCTTCTTGGTGTTCCATGAGCCGAAGTTCACAGAGGGGTGTTGACTATTGTACTTTCTTGAAAAGAGCTCTTGAATGTCTTTGCTTTACTCTTCAATTTGAAAGGTGATTTTTTTTTTTAAATGCCCATTATTCTGATGGAGTTCTGAGAGAACCAGTTCACTTTTATCAGGAGCTCCTTTGCAGCACATAACTGTGTTGTCAGAAGACCTGGGAGTGTCTCTGTTCTGATACACGAGAGTGTATTTGTGTGGGCTCTCTTCACTGTAATGTTCCTAGGACTTTTTAGTGTTTCTCATCTTGTTCATTGCATTTGGCCGTGAGACCACCGCGGGCACTGTTGGTTGTCAGTGAGATGCCGCTGTTCAGATGGTGGAGTGCATCCATATCTCTCTCTTATTTGCTAGGCAGAAGATGGTGTTAGTGATTGGGAGCTGCTGGCTGCACCCTGCAGAGCAGGAGTGAGCGAGTGCTGTTCAGCTGTCCAGTCCTGTGAGTCTCATGCCTTCTCTCCATGTTCTGGCATGGCCGCCAAATACATGACAACCCCTCCTGATCAGTTTGTCAGATGGCTGCATTGTTGTGGTCTGTCAGGTCTTCTGTACCTTTTTTCCTTTTTGTTGCCACAGTGTATGTCTGTCATGATCGGGGGAATAGGCATCGGTGATATGTGAAGGCCCAGTATGTATCAAAGCCAGACTACAGATTTCAGGGATAGTGAATGGTTATAAACTTGGCAAAAGAAAACTTTTTAGAGTGCCAGTGTGGTCAGCCACTGTTGCATGAACTTTTGTTAAATGAACTTTGGCCAGATCTTGTGGTGCCATGTGTGTTTCTAAGCAATTTACTGATTTTTCTTGTGGATTGCCTCATGGTAGTGTAGTGTGCTGTTGTTTGCCATGCCTGCTTTACAGGCACAGTGCATCACAAAAGCAGAACACTTGAAGCACAACGAACTAACGAGGGTTGGCAAGACAGGCCATCTTTAGACACCTCTTCTGTCCTCTTCCCTTGGGAATGAGCCCTGTCGAGGCAGGACTGGACCCGCTGGTTGGCCAAAGGACAGGCAGAGAGCATTATAGAAAAGACCCCCTCCCTTCACCCCATGTGCAAAGAACTGTGGGACTGGAACGCCCTATTCCATCATCAAACTTAAGTTGTGTGGCCTTGAACAGAGAACGGTGGTGCACTGCCATTTGAGCCGGCCAGTTCATGAGCGGCTGCTACATGGCTGAGAGAAGACCTCTTTTTTCTTCCTTAAGTGGTGGGTTTCCATTACTTCATCTCTCTCATTTGCTGCTGTTGAGTGAGGCTTTACATTTCCGTATTACTTAAGTCTTCCTCTCTGAAAATCAGTGTCATGGGAAGAATTTCATTGTGTACTAAACAGCACTTTGCTGTTAGTGTCGTAGATGTGTGTGACTGTTTATGTGGCTAATAGTGGTCATAGCACCATCCTTTAATATGCTGAACACTGACACTCCAGTGGATAGCCAAGCACTTCCCCCTTCATAGAAAAGTCTTTGCCGATTTCCACTTTAGTTAAGATACCACGTGAGGATTAACTACAGTTGTGTAATTCCCTCCTATGGCTTCAGAGCATCCTCCTTTCCATAGAAACTGCCTACTTGAAAACGTTTAAGAAAAACAGAATAAGAAATTAGAACATTTCATTACAAATAAAAGTGGGATGGGCATACTCTTGTGTTCTGTTTTCTGGTTGCCCTGTGAGATTACTGTTTACTTAATTATTAGATACTCTGCTAAGGTCATGTGTAAGACATGCCAGGTAAGGACTGTGGAGATAAACCCTATTTCCCAGAGCAGGTGGATGAACATGTCTTGTGATTGGGAGAGACTCTCTAGGGCCCCAACACTTAATGGGAACTGAATTTAGTTCCAGCTTATTTAGGTAGGAGAAAAATATTTACTCCATGAAATGAAACTGGAAGCATGCATTCCTGAGAAAACCCAATTCCCAAACATGAAAAAAAAGAGCAAAGCCCTTAAACTCCATTTCGTTAAGCTAAGGGCTTTAGGATTAGTGATTATGAGTCTGGTAATTATCATATAAATGTGAAACAAGTCACTAAGTTGTAGAGTTTTCTTTCCCATGAAATGACTTTAAAAACTAACACTGCAAAATTGAGTTTTGCATTAGGGTGATATTATTCAATTGACACGAATCTTTCTCAAAGTAAATTCATATGTAACACTCAAATGATGAGGCTTTCTGTGTATTTGCCTGACCATTTCCATAGCTCCTGTTGAGGGTTTTATGATGCATAATAAATGAGCTATGTACTCATTTCTTACTGGAGTGAAATACACATTTGGATTATTGGAATTTGTGATTTAGAAGCATCTGGCTTATCCTTGTTTTTGTTTGTTAAACAGGAAAAGGACCAGCGCAGCCTAGACATAAACACTGCCAAGTGCATGTTGGGACTGTTATTAGGAAAAATCTGGCCCCTTTTTCCAGTTTTTCACCAATTCTTAGAGGTACCAAATTATTTTATGAAATGTATGTTTGCTTGCTTAGAACTACCAATACTTTAACCTTTTTGTGAATTTTATTTGTTGTGCCTTTCTGCTCATAGGACTTATGGTGCCTAATTGCTGTCAGTCAACAACTGCCCGTCTTCTTGGAGTGTGTCTGTGTGTGCATGTCATGTCGCGTGCATCATCCGCCTGAATGTCCATCTGAACAGCCACAGCTCTCCCTCTCTACTTCTTTTTCAGCCCCAGATAGAGGCTTTGCTGGTGTTTAGATTTCTACCTCTTTATAACAATAGAAATCAAGGTTTACTTTCTTTATAGCCTTACATGAATTTCTAGCTTTATTAAACCAAGATTAAAACACAGCCATCTGCCTCTCACTAAAACTAGTTTGTAATCTGTTCTTATCTACTCTTGTCTCCAAGTAACTTGGGAAGTACTTGGATGGATGTACGTGCTGTGTTAGGTACACTGGCAATGTCTCCTTCAGTTTAAATTCACATTAGCTCCATGTCAGAAGCAACCCAGCATTTGATTGCATCATTGCTATTTGCTTTTGTAGTGGTCAGAAATTTTGAACTGCCTATTATGAGAACCTGACTTTGTTGAAATGTCCTTCTGCTGAGCCTGGAAGAATCCAAGTCGTGTTAGAGTTACTTGGGCTGTCACATGTGGCATATGCCTTGGTCCCCTCCTATTCCAAGCCCTTTGAAAAATGTCCTGTGCTTTCAAGGATGAGGGTGTAGGGTCTTTGAGAAAATCCTGGGTCTTAACCCAACTCCAACTTCAACTTGAAATAGTCTTTCTTACAACTTGCTTTTTGTAATGGTCTGGAAAACTTAACAACTGGTATAATTCTTTAAAGAGTCATATTAGAAAGTGCCTGTAACATTACTAACTAGGACTCCATGAAAAAGGTAATAAAAAACTAGTTATTAATATAAGTGTTTTTGCCATGATGGTCCATTCAACATAAAATCTGTTCTAATGTCTGAGAGTCCCATGAGATATAAGCCCCCACTATTTGGAACAGATGTGAAAATAGGTTCTTGCCTGCAGTGAGCTCAGTAGGATTTGAGCCTGCATGTGAAGGATCCTTTGCCTGAAAGACTGGCTGGGAGTAAATTTGACTTTGCCCAGTCCCAGGAACACCAGACTGTTTCCAGACTGGTTTTCACTTTTAGGAGCTTAGGAAGTTAAGCTTGCAGTCTGTGCTTCACTCTTGCATTAGTTTGTGTTTTCTTTCAGAGAGAGGCAACCATCCTTCCATCCCGGCTTTTCCGTGTCTGCACCCTCAAAACCATTGGCTCCACTGACTTTTTGCCTTTTTTAAAAGAACATAATTGTATTGTTTTACTATGTTCCTGATTTTTAATCATAAGGATTTAAATTTTTTTAAATCTTCAGGAATACTGTGTTTTAAAATCTGCCTGTAACATCTCTTCTTTAAGAGGGATAGAGCACCTACTTTTAACTATTCTAGCTTCATTTTTAAGGAGAGGGGTGGCAAGAGCTCCTGGCAGCATTTACATAGGTTTCTGGGGTCACTGATCCTGGTACATGCACTTCAAGCCAGCAGTCTGGCAGTGAGTGGTACTGATCATGTTGGGTTATTGATGGAACCCACTCCTCATGTAGCCACTTACTCTGTACCAAGTACTGGATGAAGCACTTTCTAGAAGTGGCCTAAGTTCTCTCATTTAATCCTTGTGGCATTGCTATGAAGTAGATTCTGTCCCCAGTTCAGAAATGTCACTTCTGAGGGCATACGTGTGTTTCTTTGATACGCTTATCATCTTGAGTTATGCCCTTAGGATGATTTTGTAATGAGAAAGCTGTCTTCTTAAATTCTACTCTTGCTCTCTCTTTATCTTCTAGATTGGTGTTTCTGTAGAAAGGGTCAACCCATAGGAACTTTCTTAAGTTGGTTAACAGAGACACTGAAACTACCCCATTCGTTCATTTTAGGTGTCATTAATCCGTATTATTTCCCCCCATCAGCAATCAAAATACAAAGTGATTAACAAAGACCAGTGGTGCAATGTGCTGGAGTTCAGCAGAACGATTAGTCTGGACCTCAGCAACTATGATGAAGATGGAGCATGTGAGTACTGGGTGCCGAGTGACCTCTCCTTCCTCCCTGGAAAAAGCCTCCACACCTGTTCTTTCTCCCTCCCCCCAGCCTGCCTCCTCTCTCGCTTTTACTCTTTTCCTTCCTCCCTCCTTCCTTCCTGCTGATGGAATCAAGGGCCCATGCATGTCGGGTGAGTGCCTCTGAGCTATCTCCCCAGTCCTCATGTCAGTTTTGTTTTTGTTTTTCCTCCAGGGCCAGTTTTGTTGGACGAATTTGTGGAATGGTATAAAGACAAACAGATGTCCTAGGATTTTATGCATAGCAGCGAAAGAGTCACTGTTACTACAGTTATGTCACCCATTAGCCATAAATTGCTGTTTGTATCAAAGCGCATGCTGCTTTTCTTGCACTGTCTCCCTCTTGCAGGGGTGTTTTGGTGTCTGCTATTGAATGGGCCAGCTCTGCTTGCTGTGTAGCATTGTGCTCTGGGAAGGCTGCTTTGCAGTTTGTATTTACACTACAGATTGGTGAATTTGCCAATGTCCTCACTGTGATTATGTGTACATTGCTGTTTAAATTTTGTATATGTGTATAAAAAGAAAAGCTTCACCTAGAGATTATTTCTGCAGAAATGTATTGTAAAAATAACCTTGTGGCATATTTCTAGTCCCTTTTTCAAATGAACCAATTATACTTCATTTGGTCTCAAATGTAGCATTTCAGAAAACCTGACAAAGCAAGCATTACCGTGAGCAGACATTGCCAGAATTAACCTCCAGTTTATGAGGCCAAACTTGGGGAAGGAGGTGGGAGTCGTGACTTGCAATGGCATGTGCCAAATATGATTTGGTTTACTTGACAATTTGAGAATTTTAAAATGACGAAAGTTACAGTTATTTGCACACACAACATGCACCATGCCACAAGCATTTCCAACATGAAAGGTAGAGATTTTTGTTTTTTGTTTTTAATGTTAACACTGTTGGTAACTTGAATTAGGTACAAGTAAATACGTTAAAATTACACCTTATTTTAAATTGAAGTTTAATTCCCCGCCCACTCCCCACCTTGCATTATTCTAGCCAGTGTTTGATCTGCTGATGTTTTCTATGCCACTGTAAGTAAGCTGTATCTCACCAACTCCATGAGCCTCCTGATTCACTGGTAGTTATAACTGTGGAGGACTTTCAGTTGTGGCTTGAATTTTTAGTTACTCTTTCATGGTGTCTGTAATTTCCTTGGGTTCTTGAAAAAAAGAGCTAAAAGTAAGAGATGTTCTGTTTTACTTTCTGTCTTTGTTTCTTCCATGCCAGGCTTTCTCTGGCGATGTGCCCATTGCAGGCAGTGGACACGAAACCACCAGCATTGAGCTAACCCTGTTTACACTGGTACCCTTCCCAGAGGGGCCATGTGTCATTCCCTGAGTCGCATATACAGAAGGGGCATAGCCATTACTTACATGGATGGGAAAACCAGAGCAAACATGATAGTGTTTTTAGGTCTGTATTTTATGTATTTTATTTTATTTTACTTTTTGCCTTGCTGTTTGAGGAAATGTATAGATAACAGGTTTTTCACCCCCCAACTATCTGGTGCTATTGAACGACTAACTCAGTCCCTGAAGTTTTGTGAAAACACGTCTAAGGACTTAGTAAAGAGCTGAGGGCACATTTGACAGGCAGATGGTGTGGTGGGGTAAGATCCTTGCTTGCCTGAGCTCTGATGACTGGAGGATGTTGGGATTATTGGCCAAAAAAATCTACATGAAATGTGAACCTTTAAATGGCATTAAATGAATGAAGCACACAGACAGCTGCCCTTGAGTACTGTTTTATAGTTGCTTTTTAAAGTCAGATTTTCATATTATTTTTTCCCCTGATTGAACCACCAAAGACAGAAATTTTGTATGTATATACAGTGTGTTTGCATATACAAAATCATGATGCGGTAGAATACAACTACTTGCCTTTTTCTACCAAATAATAAAGTTTGGTATGCTGTGAAATAAGCTAGAAGTTCAAAACAAAACAAAACCCCCAAGTCAGTAGTGATTCAGCATACTTCACTATCCCTTGTCTGTAGTCTCCCTTACAAACTAAGATCTGCAAAGAATGGACACTGTTACTGGGAAGCCTGGGCGACTGAGGCTGCTGTGCTGTAGGGGGCCTCCCCTCGCTGCTGCCGGTGTGTGCCAGTGGGTTGGCCAGAGGCAGGCTCCACCCTGGAGAGTCAGTTCCCTTGTAGGTGTACCCAAGGTTAAAGAACCACACACTCTAAAGGCAGTTCTTAAACTGTTTTTAAATTGGATCAACTGTTGATTGCCTCAATGCAAACATGAGTCATAGATGAAATTATTTTAAATGTTACCTTAGAATCTGGAACATTTTTTAAACACTAAGCACAGTTAATCTTAGAATAAAAGGTTTGTTACCAGGGGTGAGATGCAGCATTTCATCCATAGTGAACACTTTGATGATAAAGACCCACATAGTAATGGGATGCACGGTGTGGAAGTAAGTACTCTAGGAGACTATTAAAAAACCTCCAAATATTTGATCTCTTGATCTCTAAACTGCCTTGGATAATTATTAGTTACCCTTGGTTTTCTTGATTTTTTTTTTTTTTGGCATAACTTTTCTTGGGGGGTGGGTTGAGACAGGGTCTCCCCAGCTGACCTGAAACTACCAATGTAGATCAGACTGGCCTCAATCTCACAGAGATCTGCCTACCTCTGCCTCCTGAGTGCAGGGATTAAAGGTCTGTGCCACCATGCCTGGTGCAGCTATTTTTAAGGGGAGAGAAGAGAGGAGTAATTAAGACACCTTTTCTTTAAATTGCCAAGTCACACTGATTGATCGCCAAGCACTTACCCCTGGCTGATGTTAAGGAAGTCAGGGTGCCTTCTTCCGGCTCTTCAGAACCTGGGTCTCCACCTTTCCTCTTTTCACTTGTGTTTCAAACTACGCATTGCAATACTCTGTTGTTAGGAAACACAACTTGTAGATGTTTACCACTGCAGTAGGTTGGAAATGTCATTGTTTGAGCTGCCACAAATCCCCTCTGTAGTGTTAGGTGCGCCCTTTTTTGAAGCATGAATTCTGAGTTAAATATTTATGTCTGACTAGACAAACCTCTAGATTCTGGTTTAACAACAGATTTCTGTTGCATCCCAGTCTCCATTCTAACCATACTTTCAAAGTTTATTCAGAAAGCTTTAAAAGTTTAGTTTGTGCCCTTGGTTTTTATCCTTACAACTGCTAAAATAAATACCTCTGTAAGCCTTATCCTTTATTCTTTCATATGTTGTATAATAAATGTATAGAATTTGTTGACCAACTGAAATGTTGGGCATCTGTAAATGAGACCAAAATGTGGGTTGCTTTTTTCATAAAATAATTCTATTGGGGGTGCTGTTACATGAACAGTAGCCAGCCTTTAACTGTGAATGCTTTGTGTCTTCAGTATTTGCATTCCGTTCATAAAAGCGTGCAAGTCCTGTGACTCCCAGCTTAACTAAAATACTGTCATGCCATCTAACTTGAGTACAGCAAACTGGTATTAGGTTTTAATGGAATTGATGTAAAACAATATCCCGTAAATAAAGAAGTATTTGTGTTTGGTTTCAGAACTGATTTGTGTATTTGCTCTTTCACTTTCTCTGCCAAAACCATTTAGAGTAGTTTTAAAGTACTTTATTTTGTCTCAATTTTTTCCATTCAAAAATTTTATAACTACAGCAAAAGAAAACCAAGAGTAATATGAACATCTGTATTCCCATTACTTAGAGATGTTTGCATTTCCTGGTGGCAACGTCCCACCATGTGTTTGTATGTGATTCTGTTTCTTTGAAGATCTGTACAATTCTGAGTCTTTTGAGAATAAATCACATGTGACACATGACACCTGGTGTTTTATAGAAGATGTAATCTCTGTAATGATCACCCTCAAGTTTAGCATTGATAATGTTATCTGATACAAAATTAAAATCTTTCTAATTGTACTGATAATACCCTTTATGGGTATTTTATTTTTCCTTCAGGGATAAGAATTGTATTTAATTGTCACATCTCATTAGTCTAAATCAGAACATTTCTACATACAGTGTCATAAATGTGTCAAAGACAGTGTAAACACTCCTCAGTCAAATAGTGATGTTAAAATAATTTGTTGCCATGTGCTACATGTTGTTTGTACACATGTGGGTTAAGAGTAGGCAGAAATGACTATTTTTATTGCCTCAAGACTACCACCAGTTAATCTGTGTCAGCCTACTTTCCACTCCACTAGTGTCTTGTGCTTCCTGAGGGCAGGGCCTCTGGCACATCAGGAAGACTAGAAAAGTGCATGTGGAAGGAAGCAAGTCACAGACTTTCCAGTCTGGCAAAGTGTTGTCAGCATGTACTCTAACAAGAACTGTGTGCGGAAATGAGAAAACCCAGGAGGAGTGATAGCCTTCAGGATTTTACAACCTTAGAAGAGCCAAGAAAGCAAGAGCTGGGAAGTGGAATCAGGTGCCACACTGTTCAGATTGGTGACATCCACGGTTCTTTAACCATCATTTGGGCCAAAAGCTAAGGACCGAGCCAAGAAGGTCTTCCTAGACACCCAGTGGAGAGGATGGTGAGTGGAGATAGGAAAGCTTAGTTGCAGATTAATGGAGTGGAGTAGGGGTTTGACGGTCCCACTTAGATGGGGCTTTAGCCTGGGGTGTGGCCAGCAGAGAGAAACATGCATTACATTGTCCAGCACCAGGAAAGGAACAGCAGGGGTGCTTCTCTGGACAGTGTCAGCTCACGTGGAAAGTCACAGGAGCTATAAGTTTACCAGCAGCATAACTCAAGCAAGGTAAACTGGGAGACTAAATCCTGGGACGTGGTACGCCTAGAGAGAGCGTAGGAGCCCTTTACCCCTTCCATTTTGTGGGTGTTCTTTAGAGCATCTTTTATAATAAGCTGGCAACATGAATATAAAGCCACCTGGGGCTTGTGGCTAGCACCTGAAAGTACAGGAGGGCCATCCTGGGGCCTGAGCCCCAACTGGGAGATCTGTTTCTAGTAGGTAGTGTCAGAATTGAATTACAGGGCACCTAGCTGGTATTTGCTGTTGGAAATCATCTGTGTTTGAAAGGTACAGTAGAAGGAACTGAGTTTGCAGTTTATTTTTCCAAAACATAGATTTAACTTTTTTGTTTTAGGGTCCCTTAGCTGGAAAATTGGGAAGCTGAGATTTAAACCTAGGTCTGTCTCCAGTTTGTTAGGGAGGCACAAGATAATACAAAAGTCGGCATGGAGCTAGGAAAGCTGAGATACAATATTTGTGGGCTGCTTGGCTCCTTTAAGGATCTCACGTGCCCTTTACAGGAGGTTCGCTTCTTCGGTCAAGGCCTGGTACCCACTGATCCACCCTTGCCTCCCTCCACTTTCCAGAATGCCATATAAATGGAACCCTGTGGTATGTAGTCACTTACTTTTACTCTGCCTTCCAGTGCTGTTTGGTTTTGCCATGCGTCCTTGACTCATTCTTTTTCATTGCCAAGCAGTTATTCCTGGCACAGATGTGCCACAAAGTGCTGATGGATGGTTTTAAGCTCTGGGCAATTGTGAATAAAGCAGCTATAAATGATAACATACAGATCTTCCTGTGAGCATGCATATTCATTTCTCTTAGGTATTTTGGGATTTAGTGGGATTGCATATCCTTGTCAGTCTTGTCAATTAAAAGTAAAATTCATTAAGAAAGTTTAGCTAATAAGATTAAAAATAAAAAACCAATGACTAATTCTGGTGAGGATGTGGAGAACACTTTCTGCCAGTGGGAATACAAAGTGATGCAGTACTATGGAAACCAGTGTGGCGGTTCCTATAAAAGCTAGAAACATATCTATTACATGATCCAGCTATACAACTCCTGGGCATATACCCAAAAGACTCCGTCTTACTGTAGGTTGCGGTAAGACCATGTTCATTGCTGCTCTATTCACAATAGCCAGGCAATGCAAACAACCTAGATGTCCATCAACTGATGAATGGATAATGAAAATATGGTACATTTACACAATGGAGTATTGCTCAGCTGTTATATTATGAAATTTGCAGGTAAATAGAACTGGAAACAGTTATCCTGAGTGAAGTAACCCAGACCCAGAAAGACAAACATCACATGCTCTCTCTCATAAGTAGATGCTAGCTTTGAATCTTTAGATATGTGTGCTTCAATTGGAAAATCCATAGAGGTCAGGAAACTAGTTAGGGGCCATGGGGTGGAACTTCCTGGGAGGGGAATTAGAATGCAGTGATATAAAGGGGGAGAGGGAAATAATGTAAGGGCAAGAGTTTAGCCGTCCTAAGAGGTATATACTTTGTGACTTGCAAAGCATACTAAGTATATACCAATGATATGCCAAGTATGTAGTGCTATATTAACCCGAGACTAAAAGAAAGCCAAAAAATTGGCCACAGGGTTTCAGTGACTTACTCAAATTCACACCTTGTTGCTAAAAGGGGTGAGGAATAAAGCCTGTGCCATTTCTTACCTAAACTCCTTAAGCTTGCCACCCTCCCTGAAGTGCTTAAGCTGCTCTGTTCTGTGTAGTGCTGGGAGCCATAGGCCACATCCAGTTTGGAGAGCGACTGAGGATGGCTGGGCATAAAGCTCCTTCAGGCTTGCCCACAGCCCTGCTAAACCCTACCCTGCTGCAGCCTGGTGAGGCTTAGTGCTGTTCCGGGAGAGACTGAAGAAAAAGAGAACATTTCAAGGAGCTGAGGCAGTGCCCACAAGCAGCCCCTGTGAGGTCTGGTCAGCAGCCTGGGAACTAGCACAGATGTCACAACAGCCTGGCACTTAGCAGGAGGAAAGCAGAACAGGGCCCTGAAGGAACTTGAAGATACAGTCAGCCATTGGTCAAATGAATAGAGTCTAGGAATAAGGCCTGATTCCCACCCTTAAGCTCAGACACATGGAGAAGACCCCTAAGTGATTATTGCACTTTGTCAAGTGAAGCTTAAAGGTATTTAGAGGTGCCATGGGGGCCAGCGGTGGTTTGAGGCTCTTCTAGACCTCGACAGCCCAGTTAGTTGGTTTCCGCCCTTTCCCGGCAACTTTGCTGGTCTCTGCTGCTTCCAGGCAGCTTGGCTTGCCTAAAAATGTCACTCACTAGTCTTGGGGAGGAAGGGGCCTAGTTGAATCAGGTCAATGTTATGGACTTCCTAAAGCTATTGAGTTGTTTACTTTCTGAGCTTACCAAGCTTTGTAGGATGGGGTGTTTCATGTCCTCTCAAGACATTCTGTTGTTCACTCAGTTCCCTCCAAGATGGAAGTTTATGTCTCAAAGGAAACTGCTGTATTGCAGTGGTGTACATATATACCCTCATGCACACAACCATACACACAAAAATAGATTTTTAAGATGTATTTTAATTAGTTTTAAATTATGTGTATGTGGGGGTGTGTGTTGGTGAGTGCAGGTGGCCATGTAGGTAGGCCAGAGGGGTTGAACCACCTGGAGGTGTAATTACAGGCCGTAGTTGGCCACCCAATGTGGCTGCCAGGGTGGTGCTGGGAACTGAACTTGGGGCCTCTGGAGGAGCAGTATGCACTCTTAGCCACTGAGCCATCTCTCCAGCCCCATAGAAAAATTTTAAATAAAAAGATTAGGTCATACACATACATTTGTGAAAAAAGACAAAGAGGAAATGCTTGTGACAGTTACAGCTCTCATTTCTGTGACTGGCTATATAGTTGTGTCTGGAAATTATATCTGCCTTCTACCAACCAGTGTTCATTTCCTGTGCCTTCAACAATCCTGCCACATGGACATGGTTATTAGAGGGACCCAGACCATCTTTCCTGAAATACCGTCCCCCAGTAGTAGTTGTTCTAGGATTGAAGTGGTTTTTTTTTTCTTTTCCTTTCTCCTCCCCCTCCTCTCCTCCTTCTCCCCCCCCTTCTTTTTCTTTTCATATAAAAAACAAAACTTTTATTTATAGAGGGAAATATTTTTTAAAACCTATACTGAAAACTTCAGTATTCAAGGGAAATACTACCGTAAGGCAACATGTGTTTACTTTCAAACAGGAGAATGAAACAAATCTAAAAACAGTAAAAGAAATTAATCCAAGGTTTATTCTATCCCAGCAACTGAGTTCATGCCTTGCAGGGTCCATTTTTGGGCATCAATTTTTTTTTTGGTAGGTTCGTTTTAGTTTTTTTTTTCCCCCAGTTAATTATTTATTTAATAACCATATACTTAGAAGAAGCATTTCATTACAACAGCATTGACATATTCAATAACAATTTCCAGAGCTAAGATGCATCTTTTTCAAAATTGGCTGTAATTTTTTAGGATTACAGTTGAATTATTACAATTATACAATATTGTACTCAGTATAAACCCTATAAGACATAAAATTAAATGAGGTTTTAAACTTTAAAAAAGAACTCCATTTCATTTTTAAAAAATACACAGCTTCATACAGAAAAATTCATTTTCAATGCAATTGACATTAAGATATTTGCACATGCGTTTCTAATCTCTATATCAGATTATAACTAGTGACAGTTGGTTACTTTCTGAGCTCTTTGGCATCTGAAAGTCATCAGGTAGATTTCAATGATAATGTTTTTCATATCTACTAATTTATTATTTTTTAATCATTTTTAAAATTTTTAATAACTACATGATTAGAAGAAGCATTTCACTACAGCTTTAACATATTCAGTAACACACTCCAAAGCAACAGTACATCTCCTTCACAAGTGGGTGAAGTTTCTAGGTTCACAGTTGAGGTAATAGTTATACAATATTGAACTCAGTAT